CACTGAGCTACATCCTCACCTACCAGGTTAGACATTCAAACAGATGTTCTCTAGATGAATATGGGGTCTTGCAGCTGTTGTCCTAGCCAAGAAGGCAAAATTTCTAGAGCACAAGAGTTTGAAGCCATCCTGGGTAGCACTGCAAGACTCATTTCCTGAAAAACAGGAAAAAGAAATACTTTGTACATCTTTAATGAGTACACTCAAATAAACATGAAAATGGAAAGTCCAAATGTTACTGTTGATATAAATTAGAAATAAGATCTACGTACCTCAATTTATAAAAATAACAACTCATTGAAATATACTAGAGGCAAAGCACTATTCATCGTATTTCCAAAAATGATAAAAGAGCATAAAGGCCAGTCTTCCTGTGAAAGAGCTTTTGTTCAGTGAAGGTTCAAAGCCACATAGTAAGTAGCTCACACAGTAAGCTGCTTACCACACATGGAGGTAAGCAATGTCCTGTCCCACTTCTTGGGACTGCAGAACTATGCTGCCTCCATCCCTTTATCTATAGTCCCCAATGAACCAGCTGCTCTCACACTGTGTTTTATTAATTGCATTCAGCAGCAGTGTTTCTCAGTAGCTGAAAGAATGAAAAGATTAAGTTAGAGGAGGGACATTCTTTAAAGTCTCTTGCTAATCTGTGCACTCAACATAATGTTTCTTCCATTATGCCTGTCCAATGACAGATGAATTGTTGATTATATTCCCTCAGTAAATTGATTTCACAACTGGGACTACATATAATTAGGGTGTGCACCCAGGAAATAATTAAGGCATGGAGTCCTTATTAATGTGCAAGAAGAATAGCGACTTCTTGAATTTTTTTTCAATTCTATTTATTATAAGATACTTGGTTTTCAGGCTAGAAGTCCTAGAACCAGAAGCACACACAGCATACAAGGCGAGCCCGTGTTTTCTTTCTGAACATGGAAAGCCTTGGAACAGAATGTAAATGTGCCAGAAGACAAAGCTCTTCCAGATGTATGCTTCGGCTAATTTCTAGAAAACTCTTCACAGTTCCCTCTCAGTACATAGACCATGGTGTGAGCTCCAAAACCCACTGCACACTTTAAAACAAATACCACATTCACTTATGTACTTAGAGGAGAGCATGACATATAAGTCAAACGCACACATAGAAGTCAGGGGACAACTTGAGGCGTTGGTTATCTTTTTCCACCATGGATTCCAGGAACTGAACTCACGTCACCAAGCTTGGTGGAAAGCCTCTTTACTCAAGTGTCTTTGTCTACTGAGCTACTTGTTGCCCCCTTACTTTCTCTCTCTCTCTGTCTCTCTCTGTCTCTCTCTGTGTGTCTCTCCCTCTCTCTTCCTCTCTCTGTCTCTCATACACACACACACACACACACACACACACACACACACAATAATACGATAAATAAATATATATAACACACACACACACACACAGTTTTATGGACTATAATGAAATAATGTTGTCAATGTCCGCTCATCTTTCCCCGCTGCCTGGTTTGTTTTTCCCTATGTGAATTTACAAGAGACTTCCTTATGGTTTTCCAGATTCTTCATTTCATTAACTACTTTTTTCTAAACTTGGAGACAAACATCTAAACAACTGTTTCACAAGACCATTTTCCCACTAGTGACTTCTTAGCCTTTTTAATTAGGTGACACTTGCTAGAGAAATCCTTTTCAGAACATGTTTACTGGTATTATTATGCAACTCTTTCCTAAGTCCACATACATAAACAATGTGAGCTCATTGTTGCTTGGGTTTTACTGAGACCTGATTTGAAGGGTACCTGGGAGACCGACTTTTCTGAATAAGACCATCTTTCTTTGAGAATAGCCAAAAGACCAGGGTGTTGGCAAAAAAACACTTATTTGTTGTTGGACAAGCACAGTTCTTGATCTCTTGCTACCTACTAAAAGCTACTCATAGTTTCCTCAAGTTTCTTGCTTCTTCAAAGCCAGAAAGCCTTTCTTTGTAGGTGTCAACTAGCAAGATGGATCTTATGCATGTAAGGGTGTGTGTGTGTGTATGTGTGTGTGTGTGTGTGTGTGTGTGTTATGAAACTGATATTCTGTCATCTTTGTCATCATCTAAAAAGACCTAGAAGCCTCCAATACTCAAGGGTTATACAAGGATTATACAAAGGTTATACAAGCAGTTCAACACTGAGAAATGAAAATTGTTGGTATGTCATCTGAGGGCCCATCTGCCACAATCCCATCAGAACTGAAATACCCAGAGAGGGATGGAGAATTAGATGTGAACTATTTTATCATTCTTCTGTAGTTTAGATATAGAAAAGGAAGTTTGTAATTTTCTAAACTAATATTCAAAACAAGTTCTCTTGTTTTGAAGAAGAAGAAAGGAGGAGGGAAGGGGAAGGAGATATGGCCATATATCATTTCTGGGGCAAAATTGAGGGCTCAGAAGGGTAAAGGTAAGTTTGAAACAATGACCCAAAGCACATTTAAGAAATACAAATCCCAAAAGTTATCACTGGTAGTCTACACTTGCTTGTTTTGTGACTTTCTTTGGTTTTCCAGATATTTGAAATTACATGTGCTTCATCTGTCTATTTAAAGTCGGCTGTCGCTGCCAACTGCAATAGTTCCTGTAACTACCATCTATCTCCCTCACTCTGATCCCTTTGCATTACACCTCAATCCTCCAAAGGGCTAAACCTGCTCTTGGCTTCAGAATTCAAGCCCTGGGATGCAGCCCACCATCTGTCTTAAACTTCTCCAGTAACTTTTTGCCAAAGCAAGTGTGGATCATGGGCAACAACCTGGGACATTCCTGGTCTCAGAACAGGAAAAATAAAGGAAGCTCTACGTGTTATTTAGGTACTTTGTTTGCTAGTAGTGTTTGTGGGGAATGAGGAATTGATCTCTAATTGTGTGAGAAACAAAGACTGATCTGCATGCCGATGGCCACGGACAGACTTCAGAGACCGTGCAGTTTTGAAACAGATATTTATGAACATCTGCTTTCTCCCCATAAATTTTAATATGGATTTTATTCTTTGAAACATACAAAGCTCCCAGGTGCTTCTTTGGTCTTTATTTTGGGGAACATGCTTTTTTAAAAAGTCTCTTTTTTCCAATAAACACATTCTAAATCATTTTGTTAAAACAACATTCATTCATGAGCATGTGTGTGTGTGTGAGCATGCAGGAACTATTGAAATGCCTCTAATGCTAAGAATGCAAAATACTATATCCAGCGTATTAAGGCTCAAAAATGTCTAATCTGAGACTGTAAAGCATAGTTGTCTTAATAAAGATACTGAAAGGCTTGATCTTTGGTTTTCATCAGAAGGGTTTCTTTAATGCTTGTTTTGTGGCAAGCACTTCCAGAGGCTGGGATTTCAAACATCCAATGCAACAAACAAAATCCCTGTCCTCACTATGCTTATCTTCTGGTGAGCATGAAGGTTCTCTGAGAATAATTCTTAATTGCCTTTATGCTTTTCATATAGCTCTTTGGCAAATAGATTTATACTGGGCCTACAAACCAATGATGCTATTCCACTCCCATGGCTACACTAGACACTCGGGATGCAGCTGTTATTAAAGCAGATTGAGTTCCAGTGTCAAAAGGCTCAGAGTCTAGTATGCTTCTCATCTGTGTCTTCAAATGGAGAAGCAGTTGCTCTGGGGTAGGATCTGCATAACCCATTTCCCGTTCTCTACTCTGGTCCATCTGAAGCCACGAAAACTCCACAAGCATCACTTAGCCTTTCCAGATGCTAAGAGTTATTACTACAAGTAGGAAAGATGAAAGTTCAGGACCACAGGCAAGAACGCGAAGTCATAGCACACCAGTGCTCACACACAAAATACACTGAAGGAGTGCATACAAGCTAAGCTAGCAAGAACACAAGTCCTTCTTGGGAGGACCAACCTCTCAAGAGTGTAGTCCTGCTGCCTGATAACACAGGATACAGGTTATATACATAACCAGAGAACCCCTGGAGTACTGTAGAGAAACTCCTTTTCATTAGGCTAACAGTTTCCCATCTACTTACAGTCTAAAGACCATTTTCTTCTCTGCCTCCAAAAGAAGAGCACATGGGCAGGGTGCCACAGGCCATTTAAAAATGAGCCATCATAGTGTGTCAGATTCCACTCATCTACTCAAAAAACAATTACTGATAAACAATTTCAGAGATGATTTCCCACTAAAATCAACATTGCTGTATTGTGGAATAGAAGACAATATCTTCATATAGATCTAACATAAATCATAAGGCTAAACAGTACTGGAGATGAGGGCAAATGAGCCCATCCCTGTATTTTCCATCACTCTCTAAAAAAGCAACCTTATGAAAATGATATTTGAGGTATAAATAATTAGTTCTTGATTTTAAATGCAACTTAAATATAAAACAATTCAAACAGGCAATGGTGGCGCATGCCTTTAATCCCAGCACTTGGAGGCAGAGGCAGGTGGATCTCTGTGTGTTTGAGGCCAGCCTGGTCTACAAAGTGAGTTCTAGGACAGTCAGAACTACACAGAGAAACACTGTCTCAATAAATAAAACAAACAAATTAGATGGATAGATAGGTAGGTAGATAGATAGATAGATAGATAGATAGATAGATAGATAGATAGATGTAGACGATGGATATAGATAATATAGATACATAGATAGAGCCATTCCTCCAGCAGCATCTCCTTCAACCACAGTGCGATTTATGGAAATTTTGGAGATGCTTCAAATGAAGTAAAATTTTGATCCACTTCAGGTTCTGGTGTCTCTCCCTGAACTCCAAGCCATGGTCCTGAAGCAATGTTCCCTCACTCTACATGGAAGAGTGTGAGCTAAGCACTATTTTCCAAGGCTGACCAAAAGAAGCCCCTTTCAATGCTGTCCTGGTCCCAGCACTGCTAGTTAGCATCAGCCAGTCCAACTCCACATGCCCTTCTTCTGGTGTCAGGAGCTCTGAAGCAGGCTGGCATGCTCATTGTTTTGTACTTTGTGTTCCTGAAACAGGATCTGGACCAGGTGCAGCTCCATCTGGAAGAAGTGAGGTTCTTTGACGTGTTTGGCTTCAGTGAAACAGCAGGGGCATGGCAATGCTTCATGTGCAACAACCCTGAAAAGGCTACTGGTGAGTACCCCCCCTTGTTATGAAGAACCAGCTATGCATCCTCAGATGTACAGGGGTCTGTGGGCCCAGTGGCTTTACTTGGCCTTCTTCTTTGTAAATGCCCCCATTGTTCTAATTTACAGAGTCGTGTCTGATCTCTGCCTCATACTAAGAAAGGCTTCTCACTGGGATGGTTGTGCAAAAAAAGGGGGCAAGATGCTGGAAGGGAGAGAGATACAGAATCAGAAATGAGAGAGAAGAATCTTTGACCAGTTTGTGGTTATCAAGAGAACAAGGTCAGGATGGATTTGTGGTAGAGTGCTTGCAAAGCAAGTGGGAAGTCCTAGGTTCAATCTCCAGTACTTAAGGAGGGAAGAGAGATGGGAGAGAGGGATGAATGAAAGAAGAAAGAGACATTTTACTCTGAAAGTAACTGTTTTACCCAAATGACCCTGAAGTTTGGGGGAAACATTCTGCCCAACTGTGTTCCAGAGCCTCAAAGAGCTGAGGCCACACTAATTGAGGGACTGAGCACCCAGTCCATATTGTCCTGTAGTTATTCCTTATGGTGCTGCTTGATGAATGAATCATATACACTGCTAATTGGCAGCCACCAGTTGTTAACCATTCACCATTCACCATTCCTTGCCTTTTCTGCTGCCAAAGGAATTTAGTCTACCAACCTTTCTAAAAGTAACTGTTAGTGGATCCGAGCACAGCTCCGTGCTAAGCCGGGCAGATGCCTGCTTTCCTTTAGGCAATACAACAATATTGAGGTGAACACTACATTTCCTGCACCTTCTACTCCAATTTGGGGCCTTTATCATCTTAAAGATAACCTATTGTGGTGAGTCTATCCTCCTGTTAACTGCCAAGATGTTAGGGCTGAATAAATTTTTTTAAAAAAGGAAGTGTTTATTTGACCAGAGACAGCGACGTAAGAGCTCACAGAGAGGTAGCAATTAAAATGCATTACCCCACGGAAAAGGTATGGAAGGAAGGAGCTGGCAGCAGAGGATGCCAGCCTTTGTGAGGCACAGATTGTACACTGATTACAGAGTCTGGAATAAGCCCATGCCAGAGTGAACACCTCAGCTTGTAAAAAGTTCATTCAAGCAAATAAGAAATTGGGGAATTGTATGCCTCCATTATAAAACTTTCTAATTAGAGCTTTACCACACATATGCAAAAAGACAGAGTATAAAAGAGATTTCATTTGAGAGCATGGTGAAATACGGTACTTACTTATCTTAGGTGGCTCTAAGAGGGTCTTCAGATTGTTTGCTCCTAGTGAGCTAAGTTCTTAATACAATAAATATGGGGCCAAACTGGCTGAGGCGGGCCTCTGGAAAGGGGCTAGCATTACAAGACGCTCCTTTAATATGTGTTTTCTCAAATTTTCTGCCACACACTTGAAAAGAACATTTTGCACATCACCGTCTTATTTGTTTTTCTCACCATGAAGCACAGACTGGGAACACGGAGCGAGAAATGCTCTAACAAGGCCAAATACTTTATAGCAAAACATATTGAATCAAAATGTTCGGCCCTAAAACCTTCTGTGTGTTTGGATTTCTTTCCTCATTTTCTTGGGCTGCCTGAAAGAGGATCTGAGACAGAGAGGAGTCCTCTTTTAAACTGTTATTTTCACACTCAGAAACTCACGAGTCCCTGTAGAGTTTCTATTTATTGATTTCGTCTTCTTTTTATATAGGCAAATAAATTATATACTTAATCTAAGTGAAAGGTCTAACATCATCCTGCAGCCAAACATATTCTTCAGGGAGAAGGTATTTGCATTCTCGTTGTGCTTAAATTCTAACATGAAAGATGACTAAGACCTACAAATGAGTATCTATCTGGGTCACGGGCATAAACAGTTGGCCTGGTTGCAGCCTGTTTTTCAAACATGCAGTGTGTGCTTTTTGCATGGGCTGAGTGTCTTCTACAAGATGCCTGGAGGCAGAAAAATGGAGACAGTGTAGTCCTTCTGCTTTAGAAGGGATCTGCAGTCCAGTAAGGAACAGAGGCTTCTATGAGAAAATCTTGCACTGGTCTTCAGACCTTCTTTAGCATACAATAAATACTTATTGAATGAGTGAATGTGCTTATGATATCTAAAAATGCCCAAATTACCAGGCATGGTGGCACACACCTTTAATCCCAGCACTCAGGAATCAGAGGCAGGCAGATCTCTGTGAGTTCGAGGTCAACCTGGTCTACAAAAAAGAGTTCCAGGACAGCCAGGGCTACACAAAGAAACCCTGTCTCAAAAAAAAGAGAACCCTCCCTATTCATACACAGGATACACAGGCTCTGTATTCAGAATGTTTGGTGCTGCTTACCCATACTGGCTAACATGCACAAAACCCCTTCTAAAAAAAAAAAAAAAAAAAAAAACAATAACAAAAAGGACCACTTCAAATATTCCTTGATATTAAAATGTAATGGGACTGGAGAGATGACTCAGAGGTTCAGAACACTGACTGCTCTTCCAGAGGTCTTCAGTTCAATTCCCAGCAACCACATGGTGGCTCACAACCATCTATAATGAGATCTGGTGCCTTCTTCTGGCACATAGGCATACATGCAGGCAGAACACTGTATTCATAATAAATAAATCTTTTTTAAATATTAAAATGTGATGCTTCAAGCCCATGACAATGTGTTAACCATATCAAATACATATTACTATACCCTTCTTAGGGCATTGTGAACCTAGTGAAAGAAGTTTGGTCCTGTTTCCTCCATAAGAGAACTCATCACATAGAAACCAAGCAGCTAGCCTCATACCTGGTGTTTTGCCAAGCTGTGTACTGTGCACAACCCTGAACACCACTTGTGCTTGAATTGGGTCAAATGGCCTGCCATCTGTGAAAGGATGACTCAAAAGAAATAGAGTCAATCTCTAACAGAAAACACTGAACAGGCTGATAACCCCAGCCACAGGGACTAACCAATGATACAGTAATGTTCTCATATAGTCTGTGTTCAGATTTTTTAACCACTATTCAGTCTCCGTAAATGGGTAACAAATCCTAAGGCAATTACACATCAGGAAAGAAATTCAGAAATACAAAATATTTCTTATAATGTTCAAACTAAGGCTCTAGGAGTCCTTCAGAAGTCAACAGTCACCAACTGGCTTGTATTGTCACCTCACATATTTCCCAACCCAGGTAAAATTCTCATCTCTGTCTTCCCATCTCTTTCATCATCACACCGAGGCTCACTGGGGTTTAATATCTAGCACTCAATACCATTAATTTAAAATGAATCAGAAAAAAACTAAATGCTAGAGTTGTAGAGAGGCCCTGAGATCATGACAATTTATCATTCTAACTAATGGGTTGTTGCATGTTGTGCGTGTATTTTTATTCTTTTATTGTCATTATTGACTCTGTTTGACAAAAGAAGAAGAGAAGAAAAAAAAGAAAACACAGATTCAGCAATTTCCTCCAAGTTTACGCATTTATCCACTGGTGGGACTAGCATTTTCTTCAAGACAAGCTAATTTCATAAATTGAAATTTCAACCTCTGGGGCCAGTCCAAATTAAAAACATGTAATTTTAGAAACTTCAATAAAAATCATTCCACAATGTTATAGTGTGTTATAAAGACAAAAGAGGAGTTTAATTGTTTAGATGTGATCTGCCTCTTTGATTTATTTTACAAGAGCGGGAACTTTGATACGGTAATAAGAGAATGATCATTACGTGTAGCCAATGATTACAAGAGAAACTATTTCCAGTCCAATTGCTGATTCAGTTCCAATAGTCATTTTGCAAACATACAAAGCAGATGATTTCAAAATCCCAGAAATATCTCAGAAACCTTCCGAGACCTGTCTGGTGAGATTTACTGCAGATCCCATTACTCCACGTGAATGAGAGAATAGAGGTTAAGCAAGATGATTTAGCTGAACATAGCTGACTTCTGGAAAACCATGCACAGCCTCCTTATCCACTGCCTGTGAGTCTTGGAATTGCAGGGCCTGTGACAGTAAAAGAAGTCAGAGAGCTGTCCTGGGGCTCATCGGGACTTCTAGCCTGCCACATTTCTTAAGGAGGAGAAGTAGGTCATGACTTTCACTCTTGCTGCCTGAAGCACATGGGTTGACCTGGTTCTTGTAACCTACAAAAGGGTGAGAGAAAGAAGGAAGGAACAGCTCAGGATTTTGGCAAGCATGTCCTCTATAAATCCGAGTAATCCCCAATGTAGTCACTGCCTGAGTCATTTGATATTTAGAGTTTGAATGTGGTTGTCAGTAGGAGGTCTCCATGGATTCAAAAAGAAAGTGGAAGAATTCTTTTTGAATAATGTTCTATCGTGAGTCTTCTGTAGAACTGATTTTAAATATTTGCTGGATGAAAGCATGCTGCCCTTTCTATTACACAAACAACTGGAAGGGAGTCTAAATAAAATCAGTGTGGAAATGGCCTCCTTGACGATGAGATTATCTCCAGACACTAAAGACAATGGGGACTATGGTGTGGCTCTCCTTCAGTACATACCATTCTTGTGGTCTAGATGCCTTTCTGTGCCAAATGCCAACACAAGTATGGGCTAAATGACCCTTGAGAACCCAATTCATAGCCCACAAATAGCTTTTGAGTCCACTAATAGTGAACTTTTCCTTTTAGTTTCAATGTCACTTTCATAGAACTTCAAACATAAAGAATCCGCCTTGGACTTATGCAATGGCTGGGGTTGTCTTATATCTTTCCTCTTACCATACATGTTTGGGTGTGGGCTTATCTGATAAATATTACTAGCATCCCCAAAACAGCACAACGCTGTTGTACACAACTTCACAGTTCATATTTACACTGTCAGTGACTGTTGTCTTGTGTCTTGATTACATAAAATTGAACCCAGCTTGTTGTTCACATACTCTGGATTATCAATGATGATATAAACATGTACTCATCAGCCCAGATGATTTATCTTGAAATTCTTTTCCTCGTCCTCTGTCAACTTCTGGTTCTAGGCTGCAGCAGCATCACCACCCACCCACCCC